TGTCTTGTTCTGGGGGTCCCGAAACTGTGTGTAATATTCTAGATGCAATGTTCCTTAGTTTTCTTTATCCTTCAGGTGCTGGATCTCATCCCTTGGAGAGAAGCCAAATCAGTGACTAGACCTGTCCAGATGATCCCAGATGGAGAAGCGGAGCTTATCAGAAACTCCAAATTCTCATGGACTTAATTTTTTTTTAAGCTTTGACAAACACACAAAAGTGGTAATGTGGAGAAGTCCCTCCCCTACTTCCTCTGTGTTCACATCAGCTTGATTGTCTCCTTTGTCCCTCCTGCCTGAAGCCTTCAGGCCTCGATTTGTGTGCAAAGCCCATGTGGGACATGGTGTGGAGCATTTCTGAGCTCTAGTGCCATTTCTATATTAATGACAAAGTGTTATTTATATTTTCTTTTTAGAAGTGACCTCTTGCTGAGAGGTAACACGGTTTGTTAAATAAGCCAGGCTAAGTGTAGATGCTGTTAGCTCCTACTTAAGGGAGTCCAGCCTTTGATAAGCTCAGGGCTACACCTGCCTTAGAAACCAGATAGCACCTTGAAATATAGTAGTCTGGAGGGATACAGCTGCTGAATGGATGCTCAGATACTGACTAATCCCAGTAGCAAATCCTAGCAGCCAGCAAGTTATGTGAGCGATTTTGAGGGAGTTGAAGCATTGGACTGTCTCCTTTCTCCTTTCCCCTCCTCCCCCCTTAATGCTGCTCTGATGGTTTGGCTAAGAAGGGTCTCCTGCCGTTATGATTAGTTTCAACACTGTGGGGGTAGGGAACTGGTAGCTCAGAATGTTCTCATCCTCACTTCCTGTATTTAAACCATGGACCTCATTGTATCCTCTGACTGGTGAAGAATTACTGGGGACCTCTCCCTCAAACATGCTAGAACAAAGGGCTCAGAAAGGGTATTACCTTTGTAGGTAATGAACCTTTCCTTCCATAGGAAGTTTTTCAGGCACTTGTAGCCCATTATGGCTGTGAGGAATCCTGGCAAGTGCAGTGAAAACAGAGCTTGCAGTGTGCTTGCAGCTTTGCTGGTTCGTTTTGGAAACAGGTCAGAGGGTTTCTTGTTTCCTTATGGGCTGCAAGAGCGCCTAAGGGAAGCAGTGCTTGTCACTGTTTGTTCATGAGGGAAAGTGAGGAACTTGGTTTAATCATGTTTTCTTCTTTGCTGTGGTTGATGTAGCTTCCATAGACTGATCTGTTGGAAAGGTTTCTTGGGCCCAGCCAGCTGTACTTCATTTTTGTCTTGTGTACAGAATGCTCTCTGTACCCCATTAGCCTGGGCACATACTTTTGTTCTTGTTCTTGTACCAGTGGGGATGTTTGTTATCATGAGATAATACATGTCGTCACTTCTGATAGCAATTGTTTCCTGTGGAAACAGCGGCTTCTGAGTAAGAGGCTACCATAGCATGGGTTAAATTGCCTGTCATGCTGCATGTGCCTGAGGACACAGTGTCATCCTGTGGTGTATTCACAGCAGGAAATCTTCTAAAGGGAAACTAAATATTTAATGCCCACAGTGCCAGTCTTCTGAAAAGATTTGTCCTAATTTCAGTACACTTTGGAAATACTTAAGACATGAAATAGAGATGTACGCTTCATGTTACATATTCTGCCAAAGCAGTGTCCCTGACAGCACTGGGCTAGTTGTGAGACCCAGCAAACTTAACTTGTATTCTCTATAGTCCCAAATGACATATTTTAAAAGAAGCGAACATCTGAGAAATAACAAATACAATCGTCTGTTTACTTTTGCTTTCTGTACCCAATAAGGTAGGAAAAAAGTTATATTTAAAGGAATTCACGTTACATCTTTCTAATCAACAAGCACCAAAATCCAGCTATTCAGAGAATTAATACAAGGCAGTATCTGGGTATAAGATTAAAAGAAAAATATCAATAAACATGTTTTCTGTGTATAAAGCTTATTAAAAACTTACTCATTCTCTGAATGACTGAAGTAAGTGGTATGTGCTGGGAGAATAAACTCTAAAGGTTTGTGGTTTTTTGCTTTTTTTTTAAGTCTTACCCTCTCCTTCCTCCACTAAAAAAGAAATGCATTGTAGAAGCTATGGTATACTAGCTTGGTTATTCTGCTTGGTGTTTTGTGAGGCACTGTGGAAAGCCACCTGAGATGCATTGTACTCTGTAACTACATGGCACGTTGTGGTAAAATGTGGTTCTAAAAAAGATTTGAACATTCTGGTTCGTGATGTTTCTGGGTGTACTGGTCTCATTCCCCTGCTGTGGAAATCTCTGCCAGTACAACAATCTCTGCAGGCCATACCACAGACACCCTGCACCTGCTTTCTGTGTCGGGTTTTACGTTCAACGTGTACTTACGTCCCTGTTACCTGTATGTCCCTGCAGACTTACAGGCTACCTGGCCACGAGAGATGGTTTTTATAACAAAATGCCTTTCTACTACTTACATGAACAGTTGTCATTGTGTTTGGCTCACGAGGCACTATTTAAAATGTTTTTAATTAAAATGATAGCACTTAAAAAAAATTGTTTTGTATAAAATTTGCTGTAAAGATTTGTAATATGGTCAAAGGGCTCTTTCTCCTTCATTACCATTTTTAAAAATGTTTTAAAAGCTAGAAAGCATCTTGTATATATTCTGTATATGTATAGCAGCACATTTCATTTATGGAAATATGTTCTCAGAATATTTATTTACTAATATATTTATCTTAAGCCATGTCTTATGTTGAGAGTGTGTGACATTATTGTAATAATCATTGAAAATCACTAACACGAGGCCCTGTAAATACATGATAATTGCACACAAAGATTTTACAGTACCTGCCGACCAAAAATGATTTAAGAAAAGTTGTAGTTACCTGCAGTTTTGTAAGAAAGTGTACAAATGTCTGTATTAAAAGAAAAAAAAAAGGCAAAACCACACAAAAATACAGTTTTATTGCATATACATGTGGGAGTTGTTCTTCTTGTTTTGGGGGAAAGGACACAGATAGTTGTTCTCCTCAAAGTACAGTCCTAGATATGCCGAGATGAACTCTAATAAACAACATTTTTTTTCTTTTTTTTTTTTTTAAATAATAGATAGTTGGATATGTATATACGTAGACACACAGAGAGATCACAGGTGGTTGTGGTTTTCTTTGGAGGCAACCCATAACGTTCTCAGGACCACTGAATCTTCATCTGCCACAGATGAATTTACCAGGTATTGTGCACAGTTAAGTCCAGCACTGCCCAGGTTTAACTGTCTTCCTGATACTGCCCCAGTCACGAGTGAACAGGGTGAGTGTTCCATGGGGGCTGCCTGGTGCCTCTGTCCCTGCTCACACCTGGCTGCGGTTGCTGTTGAGGTGGGAGAGGCTCCATCCATTGCAGGGAAACAAAGGTTACAGAGGAAGGGAGGCACAGAAGGAAAAGCGGAGGGTTAGGAACGCAGTGCACCAGGGTGTGCTGTGGAGGAGGTGGGTGGAGAGGTGTGCCAGGGAAATGGGGAGGGAAGTGCAGGGAAGCTGAGTGCAGTGTGGCAGTCCTTACCCATCAGCAGTGGGCCTTTGCACAGCGTGCAGGTTTGTTGGGGAGCAGCAGGTAGGTGTCGTACAAGCCCCTGAGCCCTCCAGGCACAGGAGAAGTACCACGTCTGCTAAAGAAGTCCTCATTTCTGTTTGGAACCTGCCTGTTCCTCGTGGCAGGACAACTTAATTCTGATACAATTTGAGGTAAAAATAATTTATTGTCCTGAAATAAAATTGTTTCGACACCTGAACCAGCATGATAGAGGCGGACGCAACTGGATGAATCGCAGCTTGAATAGTCAAGCTAGATCCAAATGCTTGCCTTGGATCATGAAATCACCGATCCCACTGAAGTGATAATCAGTGCTGTGCTACTCGTTTTGTCAGCAGAGAGCACAGTTTGACCAAAGATGTTTGTGCAGACACCGAAAGAGGGGGGCCTGGGGATATGTGGCAGTGTGTGTGTGTGTATGTGCGTGTGCATTTATGTGATAAGTGTTTGTATGCTATTGTGTAAACAGTTTGCCTTCATGCATTATTTATTTCCCATCCAGAGATACACACAGAAAAAATCTTTTCCAGACTCCTTCTCCAGTTTCTTCCTTCTCCCAGAGATTTTTACCTGGTAATCCCCTGGACTCTCCCCTCCTCTTATCCATGTTCAAATGAACTGTACTTCAGTCACCTCAGGAAATGAGCCTTACTTCTCTCCAACCCCCTTTGGATGTGATAACTCCATGTTTGGGATGGCAGCTGGTTGAACTGGAGTGTCAGTTTGCGTGGGACCCTTTGTAGCAGGAGGATCAGTTCTCACCCTCAGGTGCAGTGGGAAAGCCTGTCTGCGTGCGAAGATGGGCACAATAATAGAAGGGCAACAGGCAGGCAGGAGTTGGGCAGCATCAGCAAGCACTTCTCAATTAAAGAACCTGCCCCTTTTTCCACTTGGAAAACGGAATCGTGGCAATTGCCAATGATTATAGATACACATCTGCAAATCAGTTCATTAAACAACTGTTTTTACAAACAGCGTAAAATTTGTCATCTATGTCTGGCTGATACACCTGTGTTGACAGGTCACATCTTGAGTCTCCTTCTTCTTCCCTTCCTCTGCCCCCGTTTGCTATTGCTGACTTGTGTTTTGTTTTCTTGCTTCTTGTTCTGAAGGAAACTCTGCTTTTATGAGCAGGGCATGCCTTTAACTCTTGCTGTCCCACAAAATAATCAGTGAGCCCATCCTTTCTTTCTGTGAGAAAGACAGGTGTGGGCTGCTGGCTGAACTTGTATGTGGTGCTTAGTTGTGTGATATTCTTAGTGTGTGATATTCTGTCTCTTCTTTGTTGTGGCTTTTTTTAAATGACTAAGTGTAAATATTTCCTGTCAAAGATGAAAATTTTTATACTTGGCAGGAGAAGGTTCTTTTTACTGTTGAGGTTCAGTGTTTAAGGAACAAATTTGTTGCAAAATTAGAATCCTGTGGGCACCACGATACAGTAAAAAAAGACAGGAGCAGACTATTCTTAATGGATTGTACATTATAGTAACACTTGGTGTTTCTGTAACACTATCTGCAATATCATGTGCATCTGTCAAATCCTGTGACAGCTGTTAGGTAACGTTTGTTGTTACTCGGGTAGTGTGGGGAGAAAAATGCCCTTAAAAGGATGGCTGTGTTCATACCCCGTGGAGCCAGCCTGGCCTAATTCTTTGGCCAGGGAGACAACAGCATACCTGAAACTGGATATTTTATCTTGCAGTGAAAGCGCCGTGCCCCTGTGACTTCAATGCTCCATAGAAAAGTGTTTCTTTCAGAATCAAGAACACATTTCTCTCATGGGGAATGAAACTGTTGCTTGGGAAACAACAACAGGAAAAAAAGGCAACAGTTCCCAGAATAAACCAAAGTGCAAAAGGAGTCTCATAACTGGAACGGCAAGAAAGGAGAGCAGAGTAAGCTCCCTGTGTAAGGGGAGGCCAGTCCCCGGTGACAGTTGCATTTCTAAAAGAGAGTTTGAGTCTTCACATGAAAAGCTGGAGACAGTTTGGGTATATGACACTGGTAATTCTGGTGTTTACATAAAAGGTCACTGAAGATTTCTTAAACTGTAGCATTATTTTGGTCAGGAGGAATTAATTAAAGATGAGTCTCGCAAGTAAGTGGAAACAGCATTACAAGTTAAAGCAATTCTTAAAGAAAGCACTGAAAGAATTGTTACAGTTCTTTGTAACACTTTGAAAACACATACACTGAAAACTTTCAATTTGCTGTTACGTCAGAAATTGTGTCTCGGAGCAATATTATACTTTTTATAGGTAATCATTCTCAGCATTTTCAGTTTAAATTTTCTCTTCTAACCTCTACAGTGGACAACTCCGTTGTCATCTGCTGGTGAACTGCAGCGGTTTCTGCCTCCTTTATTTCATGCTTGTATACACTTTAGCCATCCTAACTGAACTGCTTCTGCTCAAATGTATTTATTTTTCCATAACTATTATTTACAGCCATTTGTTGAATGCAGGGTGACCAGCTATAAACACAGCACATATCTCAGTGGTGAGTTATCTCAAATTTGATTTATTCTGGTTTCTTGACAGCCTTATGTGGTTCATGCCTTTGCATTTGTAGTAAGTTGTCTTGAGACTGAAATTCAGAATGCCAAGTTTCATCCCAAAGCACAGGTGCTCAGTAAATTTGAGAAGGTATGAGCTGCATGAAATTTATGTGTATCAGGAATGTGTTACAGAAAAAATAGTGTGGTCAGAAGAGAATTCTATTTTTCACTCTCAAGGTAGCAGAGTTCATAAATGCCTAGAACAATATTCAGGTGAAACTATCACTGAACTGTATTTCATTGGAAGATTGTGAAATATTGATGCAAGGTATTAAGAACTAGTTAGACAAGTATTTGTCAGTTGTTTTTGTAGTTCACCCTTCCTTTAGGCAAAGCGGTGCATTAGAAAAATCTGTTAGTAGTCCTTCCCACTGCCTGAGAAGGCTCATTAAGCGGAAGATGAAAGTGGAATAGCTAGTCCTGCTCATTCAGTGGCAGCCATGTGTCTGCTGAGGGGTTTGGTCTGTAGTCATACAGGCTGCACGTTCAGTTCAGCTTTCCAAGGCTGTCGGTAAAAATCTCCCATTTATTCTCCTGCCAGGGGGGCTTGGAATACAGACACCATAACTGCAGTCCCACTGGGCTGTCTGCATGAGCAGTGGGATAAAGTCCCTCAGCATTGTACTGGCTGTAGAAAATCTGGCAGAAACAAGTTCTAAATAAGACGATGTTAATGCTTTGGAAAAGCAGATTAAATGTTTGAAGGAAAAAAACAGTCCAGGGAGTGAGTATATGCATATGAGTTTGCAGGATGTGATGAACAGCCTAATACAAATACAAGCTAGAAATGAGATTCAAAGGAGGTAAGTGCTTCTTAAAGCAATTGTTTCATCAGCATCTGTTCGGCCACAGAACTGGGTCTGAGTTACCCTGCTCTCAGTGACCTTCTGTTATAGATACCAAAAAAGTATCTTTGATTTTTTTCCTACGGTTACAGTGTATAGAAAATTTATTTTTCCCAGAGTGTAAACTAACATCTTTTCTTCCTATAAAATGTTAGCAAGATACAAGCATAATATGCTGTATTAAATAATGCATTTCCTATACATATATAAATATATATATTACTATGATAACATATCACACATTTTTACATAACACAGTCTCTATTTCCCCACAACATAACAACATTAAGACAAAAATACATATAAAATCATTTAGTCAACAAACTAAACTAGTTTTAAACATAGATTTTGAATTAGGGAAGGCACTTGTCCAGCTGGCCCCTTTCCACCTGAGGTCCACATACAGTGTAGGCTCTGGCACGCAGGCTCACAGATTGCTGCAGTGACAGTGCCAGCAGAAGCACTCACTGCCCCAGCTTCTGGGGCAGACAACTTTTTCCTATGGCTTATTGTCCACTTAGCTGTGTTAGCTCATCTCTCTCTGCAACTACCCAATAAACAACCTCAGAGAACTCATCTCTGTGAAAAGTAACTAGAGAAGAAAAAGCGATGGCAACTTTTGACCTGTCAGTTTATTGCAGCACCACAGCCAGTCCTACCAACACCGGTGAGAAGGGGGCCGGAGCTGCAGCTGGAATGCATTTACGTGAGGAGGCATCTCCTCAGGATTATTTGTTGTCAAAACAGTTGCTTTTGACATTGTAGCCAATGACACATTTGCAGCCTTTCCAGGGAACTGATAGGCAGGACATCAGAAGGCCATTCAGATACAATTCCAAACGAATTCTTCTTCTGCAGTTATTTTCACTTTGCTGAAGACAATGGTGTAAACACCAACCTCCCGAGGTGCCCGTGCTCCCCAGCTGTCAGCACTCAGCTGCTCGTGCAGCAGGGGCAGGCTGAATCATGGGATTACAACAGTTGTGCATGTCACGCTTTTCGTTTCTCTCTCCCCCCAAACCCCTACAGCAAATATCAAAAAGTGCTATGTTAATGGATACCACGTACCTTGGCCATGTACCACCACACCCTGAAGTGCTTGTACGAGGAGTGTGAGTGACTGAACCACATTTGGAAAGAATCCACAGCAGAGATCTACCTGCTCTTCATGGTCTCAGGCCTGTACAGTAATAAGTGCTATTTAAGGGCCCCCGTCCATGCATTTCCATCTATTGCTCTGTTTGCAAGGAGAGGTATCTAGAATCAGATAATCTGAAAGATCTGGGGGGGGAAACGGGGACCTCACAATTTCCTCTGAGCTTTTATCAGTATGTTACCCATGCACTGTCCAATACCTTCTGCATAGTCATGTTTTTTGTTGCCATGACTAGTTAATCTGCTGCAACTGCTGGTTTTATGGGTCTTTTGTACAGAAACTTGATAACCATTCCCTAAGAAAGGCCCATGAAATGCAATTTTAATATTTAAAAAACAGTTGAGAAGCTAAGGAACTGATGCAAAAATCTCTTTCTAAATTCTATAGAATTTCCATTAGTGGCTTCAGTCTTAGTTGTTATTTTTAATGCTTGTCTCCAACTTTATAGTGAACTTAAATTCTTTCCTAAGGAAGAGAAGCCTGGCAGTTCTGTATTTTCTCCTGCAATAGGTAGAAATCAGTCATGGGGCATTCCTGATGTTTTTTCAGTTTATCAGCAGTAGCTAACTGCTTTCTGAATATCTCTTTTACTCTCTGTGTTTAACTGCTCGAGAACATCTGATGAGTCAAGGAAACAAAGCGTCAGCTGTTTGTGATAAGCTCTGTGTGCTCCTAACAACTCTTAAGGGTCTGGGTACCACCTGCCATTCTCTCCTGGTTTTGTGTTAGTGCACCATATTGAGCACGCTGAGGAACCAACCTGCTTTATTCTGCTCTGAATCTGTGAGTTGTGATGCAAACCCTGACTGTTAAAAAGGCAGTTTCAGAATTTTTGCTGGTCTGAGGCAGATGATGTTTTTTGGTCTAACATGAAGGCACGGAAGAGAGAACCAGTGTATCTTTTACAACTCGTCCTGTCTTGATTTTAGGTAATACCATAATTATAGTTTCCTGTGTTCTTTCCAGCAGCTCATGCAAGAGAGTACTAGATGTTCCCATGATATTCCATTTTTGATATAAACAGTTTCATAACTGCTGGCTTAGTAAAGTTCTTGTTTCTTTTAAGCGCATATTGTGGCCCTGTTCAGCTGTTGCTGGCACTCATCTGTGGTACATAAATAGAGCTGGATTGAATTCAGTTCAGGTAGAAGACTAGATCTACAATGGCAAGTAAGGCACAATATTTCACTGAATTCTTAGATGCCCTGTTTTTCCAAGGAAATCTCTAACCCACATAAAGGGGAGGGAATTATATGTTTAAAAACATAAGGGCAGATACTATAATGAATTTGAGCTCGGTGACAATTTTCTTTTCTGAATTACCTTTTGTAGATGCTCTTAATAGATGTTCTCTGACTGCACGTACAGTGTGTCTCATATACACAGACTGTTGGTATATGTTTAAACTTAACCAGTTTAATGGTTCTCAGTGAATTTCCTCAAACACAGTTTGAGGAGCTGCTCACTCAGTAAATGTTGCCAGTCAATTTATCTGACTTCTGCATTGACAGTTTTTCCTAAATGTCTTGATGCTCTGAACTTGCTGAGGCTGAAAGACTCACTGTTGATCCCACTTTAGGCTGCTGAGATTAATATCTGTAACTTCCGAGTAAAAATTTGTTACTCAGCTTCACTGTTTAAAAATTCAGTGGATTTACAGTATCCCTGGGCAAGCCTTTAAGAAGCCTTAAGCTTCCACCCAGAATGGATGCTGGACTTCAGGCTGGAGTACAATAGTTTTTTAAAGGATCACTGTGAATATGAACAAAATTATCACAAACATCAGTGAATGATGGGTCAGACACAGTCATTTAAAAGGCTTCATTGGTCGGGCGAGCCTTGACCTGGTGAGCAGGACTCCATCAAAAGGTGTATTTGCAGCTGAAACTCGATGGAGCACCTCCTGAATTTGATTTTTGTTTGTGCATCTCTGCTTGTAGAAACAGAAAATGCAGAAACAGCAGAACAGTGGGCAGCTGCACTGTGTAGTACCATTTACATTTACATGTGCACATTAAGGCAAATAAGCTCTGGTTGCAGTGGCAGCCAAACAGGTTATCTGAACCTGCCTCTGTCATCAGCCTTGAGAATAAAAGGACTAAAGTAGCCCGATAAAATACAGTGGTACAGGAAAGCAGGACACAATAATTCCTTAACCTGCAGATACTCACTCAGTTACCTCTGGCAGGGGTACAGGACATTTCGAAGTTTACAAGTTTTTATGTATATTTTAAGTGCAATGCTTTAAAGGCAGTAATTAAGAGCACTACAGATTTGATGAGCACCAGATACTTCAAAACTATTGCTGCAGTTAAATAGGTTGTCACTAATACACCCAAGGGAACAGCAGATAGGCAAAGTCACTCAAAGGTCTTTGGAAACGGACTTTTTGGAAAACACGTATGAGATTGGGAGAAAAAAAAAAAAGGAATTATCTCAAGTCACCTGGATTTTAAGAAGATCAATTCTTGTAAAACAAAAGACACTTTAGTCTCCCACGAGTGGGTTGCAATCATCCTGTTGATTCCGGAGCTTTTTCTTGAAGATGGATATCGATGTGGATGGCTGGTAAAATATACTCCAGATCTCACCAGCAGTAGTAACATCACTGCAATCTTCTGTTTCAGTTGCAGATGGAATCTGATGGGATCTAGGAGACAAGGGTTTATTCAGTCATGTATGAAGATGCTTGGGCACCTTCAGCAAAAAAAATCTGGTTAAGTGACACATTATAATACAGGTTTTAAATTTTGAGAGTCCTTTATGAACCATTTTCAATATTTCAGAAAAAGAAATTAAGTATTAACTAGCGTATATCTAACTTTTTTTCCCAGCTCCCCAATCTGGGATGAGGTTTTATTTTTTTTCCTGCAAAGTGCTATCATAATTTGACCTCTTGTCACCAAATCCAGATGTCTGATTACATTTCCTTCTTTCTTCCTTAAAATACAAATCTTGTCAACACAACACCAGAAGAGGGATTCTAGCAGCAAATGCTATCCTAACAGACTGGGAAGTTATGAAAGGTGCTTATTTATAGTATCTTTTATGAGGATACAAATCAGTAATAAATAACTTGGTGTTGAATATGACCAGTCTGACTATCAGAAGGCAAAGACACCAGGTTTAGTACAGAGCTGAGATCTTGGTTCTCTGGGGACAGCTTTGCCCCACACTCACCTCACGGTAACGTGGAGAATTATCTTCGCTATTATGGCTGTAACACTGAGGATGAGCAGTGCTGTGAGACTGTAGATGGTCCACTCTGTAAAAGAGAAGAAGAAAGGGAGAGGGGGGAAGTTCTTAGTACATTCATTTACTTGCAGTTTTTAAAGTAAGAATGTTGCACAGAAGAAACACACAGCCTTCTGATGCTTTATTGAAAACTGTAATTTGGAGATGCTTCAAACCTACGAGACTGGCAGAAACTGTACAGCTTTCAGTCAGAACTGGCTTTTCTCTTGCAGGACTGCTCCCTATAAAATTGAAAGTTGGCAAAAGTCAAAGCATATACCAGTAAAATCATCTAGGAAAGGAACCAAAACTTAATCAGAAGAAAATTTAAAGCAGAACTAGAACCAGTAGGAACTCATGACTGCAAGGAGGTGATCCAGGATTTTATCAGTAATTATGTAGTCATGTAAGTAGTCACGAAGTATGGAATGGGAGGAGTGTCCTCCAGAGTCCTGAGGCAGGTGATCAGTATTTGTGGTCTGCTCTCGGCCATTGGACTTTATAGTTCCATTTAGTTGTGGTTGTAGGAGCAAGTCAAGCAGGACCCATTGTGACACTGTAACTCTGAGTTCATGCCAGTTCTCAGTGGCACCTCCCCTGCATCCATGAACTTGTCCAGCCCTCGTTGTATTACTGATAAAGCTTTTGTTAACTGGGGTAACTGGGATGCATTCAGGCTTTTTTAGACTCTACAAAAGGTTGCTCTGTTTTTTCAGCAACTTGTGCCACTCTCTAGTATGCACTGGTCACTGAAGCTGATTATCATGAGGAGGCTGCTCTGATTCACATTTTATTTTGATGTGTTTTGCTTCTCAAGAAAAAACTCACCATCTTCACACTGATGCTGATTTATGCTGATTTTCGAAATGTAAGGAGAGAATCACAGTTAATGCTAATTAGACTACATAAAAATTCATCTATTAGTAAAATGCACAGTGAATCAGATAGCGTGGAGGAAATAGTGCAAAAGAAATGGTGACTCCAGATTGTGCCCTGGCAAAATGTTTTTCCTGTTTCCACATTTTACTGTAATATTACCTGGCATGGAGCTAGTAGGATGACTTGGGCTGGTTGTGATGACATAAAGGATCTTTGATGACCGGGCTGCATTGATGCTGAGATTTGCTTGTTCATTTATCCTCTCGGAAAGGGTATGATTCACTGGAGTCTTGTTTTGATGCACATTGTCCTTCACAGCTGAAAACGCAAGGATATGATTAAAATAATAATTTCTTAACAGAGGTAATTGGATTTTATTTTGTGCTTGTGAAAAGAAGTGCTGCTCTCTGGTTTACCTAAGAGAACTCAAATAATCAATATGTCTGATTCCCAAAAAAAGCCTGTACTTCACTAGGTTGGGGTTCTTGGAATTTTTCTGGAAGGTCAGTGTTAATCATAGCAGAAAGTACAACTCAAGGACCAAAACGTTTTCCCCCGATGACTTTTGATCAGAGTGGAATAGACTGTTGGAAGGAGCCAAGAGGAGCCAAGATGCAGATGGAGTACTATTTTTTTTAATTTGTTTCAGCTTTATCATTTTCCAATCTGTTTTGATAGGCAGGTATAGGATTGAATTTTTGAAAATCTGAATTTTGCTATTTATGACACAGCTGACTGGAGTGTTCCAAACTGAGAGAAATTTTGGCAAAGCTTTTACCCACTGTGCAACAAGTGAGGTAAAACACCTGCTAGGTGAGACTTAAAATATTTGCTCTTTTGTTGCCACTTCAGAAATCTGTGAATTAAATGCTTCATTGAAAGGCAGAAACAGGAAAGTTAGCCTCTTACCTCTGTATCTGATAGCAAATCCCTGGGCTTGATTGATGTCATCTGAGAAAAAGTACAAAATGACAAAATCCAAAGAGATGTTAAAGGTGTGGGGAGGTCGGTTCTTGCCATTAAAACGAGCCAGCACATGATAGGTATAACCATCCAGCAATTCCACCATATCTGTGGCATCTTTGATTTCAAAGAGGGCAAAGCTGAAGTGGATTCGAGATGCCCCTGGAACTTGTATGGTCCAGTAACAGACTTTGCCTGTGCCGTACGTGTCAGGAAAATCTGGGGAGTAGATCACAGCTGTAGCAGAAGTGTAATTCCCTCCACAGGCACCAATAAGGGCTGTGAGAACAAGAGAAGAGGGAGAAAGTGGAAAAAAAAAGAAAAAAAAAAAAGGTCATACATTAATTTTGCAAAACTTTAGCACCCTGTAGATTTTAATACTTGAACGTGACTCGAAGGTACAGACTTGCTCTGCCAGCAGGATGTGCTGTCTCGGAGACTGGGGTTCTGTACCTTCCCCGCAGGAACAGGATAAAAGAGAAATCACTGATTCAGGGGCTTCTGCTCCGTCCCTGTCAGGCAGGGAGGCAAGTGGATTAGTGACTATTAACTCTCAGTATTGAAGTACTGAAACTCCTTCACAGCTGTATCAAATTGAAAAAACAAATATTCACAGAACAAGTGAGTTTGGAAGGGACCCTGAAGATTGTCCACTCAAATCCCCCTGCTCAGAGCAGGAGACAGTGTCCAGTTGTATTTTGAGCCTCCAAGGATGGAAACTCTACAGCCTCTCTGGGCAACTTGTTCCCGTGTCACCCTCAGCATAAAAAAAGCTTTTCCTTTTGTTTCAATGGAACAGTTTGTGCCTGTTGACTCTTTGTCTATTCACTAGATAGCACTGAGGAGAGGCTGCCTTCATCTTTACACCCTCCCATCAGTTAGTTATACAAATTGAAAAGGTTCCCCCTGGGCCTTCTTTTATCACAGCTGAACAACCCAAGTTCTCTCGGCCTCTCCTTGTGTCAATGATGCTGTAATCCCTTAATCACCTCTGTTGCCATATATATGTGCTTTTCAAGCCTCCTGTCTTTTGATCTTGTCCAACTGATATTTGACCTTACCTTCACTAAGTAAATTGAAAAGGATCCTGTTACAAAGTCTAAAGAAAAGATTTGTAGCTACCTTTTATATTAGAAACCAGTACATGCCCAATAAATTGTTATATTCCTTGACAATTATCCAGGTTCCCAGTGCAAAGTTAATTACAAGCAAATCCAGAGAGCAATTCAAATGCCAGCTGAGGATGCATATTTATATATACACATATAATTTTAAAAGATATTAGAGATATATATGCATATATATGTATTTATACATATACCCCTAAATATAAAATATTATATATATTATATAATAATGTATTTTATGTCAAAACTGTTTGGATCAGAGTTATCATTTCCCTGTATTATAGCTGAAAGACTTAAGAATCAAAGTAGAATTATTGTCTCTGAAAGCTTGATTAAAGCCCTGTAAGAGAGGTCTGTGAGAATGGAAGTAAAAGAAGTGTTTTTAAGTGTCTCAGTTTTCACAGGTCTCTGAGAAAAAGCTTTAATAAATACAAATTAAAAGGAAACTCAGGGAACAAGAAGTAGCATATGTCTGCCAGAAGAACACATGAAAATATTTCTTTTTCTGGAGCAGGGCCTGATCATAGCCTTAACCTACCTTGTATTTATTGAGTGTGCACTATGAAAGACCTTATAGAGGAACTGAAAGGATATGAAAGAATAAGAACAGAAAGAATGTGAAAAACCCCACAGAGGTACTAAGGGACACAGGGGAATTTGTGTTTGGTGCTTACTCCACACTGACACAGCTGGTGACTTAATCCTATAGGTAGAATTGTTCAAATAGATGGAACAGATAGAATTGAAATGTGTCACCGAGATACAACATTTGAAAAAGGCTTACAGATATTGTTACATTTGACTGTGCTGTTTGTAATTACTGAATCACAAGACGTTTTTCAAGCCAGCAATATTAACCAAGAGTGCCAATGACTAGTGCTCCACAGATGCCTACCAAAGCACAGCACTGCCCCATATGGAATGGAAATGCTTTCCCTCTCTCATTTCCTTCTCGAGCTGGCAGAGTTCTGTGTTGTGGGTCTGAATGTTACCGCATTAGACTGTGATAGTAACACATCAACATACGGATAATGGGGTGAGGGGGAAGGGGGTGTGTGTACAAGGATTGTGGTGGAGGTTCTGGGGGTATGACATAATCTGAAACAGAGACATGAGGTGAGCAGGTGTTGCTCATCAGGGAAAGAAAACAGGTAGCTGCTGCTAGGATGACCTCTCTTACCAGGCCACAGCTTTCAGGTAAACCTTGCTGTTTACCAGAAAAGACACTGCAGGTCCTCAGGGTAACATTTTGCTGAGCACTTGGTCACTCTAGAAAAGCAAAGCTAAAAAGGAAGACTTTACCCATAGAGGATTTGATAGGCCAAGAGCAGAAGGAAACAGAGGATGCTGCAATGTGAAGAGATGTGCTATCTCAGCACTGGAAGTAACATGCAAGTCTGGTGCATCTTTTCATATCTTGGGGAGAATTTGGAAGTGAGCAGAGTGACTGATTTCTGTCCTGCTGAAATGTCTTTCTGTCTGGAACTGGGAACCTGAGTTGTAAAGTCGGGAGATGGGAAGTTTGTTTGTGTGATCAGAGGGTGGAATGTGATGCCACTTTGTTTCAGAAATTCTGTAACTCAGAAGGCAGCTTCTACATCAAAGGCAGTTGAGATTGAGAAGCAACGATATATTGGTGCATATGGTGAGGTTTTTCAGTACTCCCAGCCATACTGGGCGCTTGTATTGCAGCTGGACAACCAGTGACTCACACCGTCTACCTCTGAAGTTACACAGCTGGCACTGGTACATATACTGAAGAGTAGAAAGGAGGATTTCTATGTAGAAGACGTTATGAAATCAGCAATGGTCATAACAGCAACCTAACCTGATTCTACTTTCATAGTGTATTTCTCTGTCAGTCCCACTTACATTGCTTTGCATTGTGTTAACTGCATCATAGCAAATCTCACCATGTTTAGTTAAAAAAAAAAGAAGTTGTTGTATATTCAATTTTATTTGGGGTGCCTTATTCCTTTATTTACTCTCTAGTAAGATCAATTCTTAGGGCGTCTTTCTGTTGTGACATGCTGTTTCTGATAGCAGAGGTCTTTTACCTCTTGTGAGGAAGTAAGAGACAATCTCCAGAGCACGAGCTGGCACAATTTCTTGGAAGAGCTATTTCACATTATTAATGGTTGACAATCTTATACAGAAATGCAAAGCAGCTTCATTTTATATTGAATTTAGGTGTTTTGCTGTTTTGCGTGCAGCAGTTCTCATTGTACTTAGATCCTTTTCCCTAATTTGCTGAACATTTGAGGCCTCTCCTTTGGGAAAAACTGAGCCTGCTTCAATACTTACTGTCAAAAAGAATGACTCTGCCATCCCCACCGCAAGGCTGAGTATGGTCTCCAAAGCAAACACTGTTGCATTCCGTACTGGCTGCCTCCCCATATCTCCAGTAGTCAGGGTTATTTCCACAGAAACAAGCATAACCTGATTCCATGCCTGCAAACTTTGACAACAAAGATGCATAAGGAAGGGAGGAATAATACTTGAAGGAGAGACAGCAGGAGGTTGTATGAGCAAGAAAGCTGGCAGCAGAATATGTATGTTTTGGAGAAGTAGATTAGTCAGAGGAACCACCACAAACTGCTTCTGTTTGAGCTCTCAGGATGCTACTTAAGCCCAGTGAGAAAGATGGAATGGAGGGCAGTTAGGACACCCTGTCACTCTTAACTGCAGTAAGCAAGCGTACTTTCTCCTGGCATCCTGGCATTTGTCCAGATTGCTCTGGATGCAGAGAGAGGGACAGAGATCTCCCGGATTGGAAGTGAGATCTTGGACCTCCTAAAGATTAAAAAAAAAAAAAAGGGGGGAACAGGAGAAATATGAGAGAGAGCTCTAGGCATACTGTAGTCTTTGAAAGCACTTTGTAAATGTACGTTAAAGAAATCACCTTAAATTGTTGGCTTCGGCAGGAACTGATGCATGTTTGGATAGTAAGTTTATTGGAGGTCTCACTGGTGCCAGTCAGAGGTGGTGGCTCTCCATGGTCCTTGTAACACCCCAGATTCCCTGGCACTGGCAAGAGCAACAGACAACAGTCATTCCAAAGGTGTGCCTGTAAACATCCAAAACACAGACCACTCCATGCACTACCTGAGCACTAAGCGGCGTGTTCTGCACTATGGGAAATGTTACTCTGTGCTAGAGCCTCGTCATATTTTCCAAACATGCACAGGGATAAAATGAAGGGGCAAAGAGTATCACATCTCCTTAGCAATACACCTGTAATACTCTCTTTGGTTTCAGTAAGCTGCAGTAAAATAGACAAGATAAATACCTGGTTCATTTTTCCTGACAGAGGCAGTTGAAAAAAAAAAAAAGAATGGCATTAAGTAGTTTCAGAGGGTTTGTGGGTTTTTTTTACTATGAGCATGCATATTCTAACAATATAAATTAAACTATGTGATTTCTGTCTGACCTTCACCTGGAAATTTTCAAAACAGGATATTTGAGGAAGGGAACCTAAACTGTTTTAAGATAGAGTTTGGCAAATTTTATGGGAGGGACTATATAGTTATACAGGGGAACTTCCTAATATTTAAAACATGAATTCTGAGGTGAATTTAAAGTATCATACAAAGAGATTAAAAATGAGCAATATCACTTAAAAAAACCCCTATTTTTACATTTATTTACATTAATACAATGTTTCAAGGCTCCTTGGTCACCAAGGGAGCTCAGTTTTCCCCTTCCAACGCACAATTTGTCCTGTTTTTGTTTTGGTTTGGTTTTGCACTTTTCATCAAAGCACTGGAATTTAGCCACGACCACCCCACGGAGAGGATGTGGAGTACAATATAATGCTGGGCTAATGACATAGAAGTATCCCTTGCCTACGTGTCATATCTGCTCAGATACTTGAAACTAAATCTATTCCCAGTTCTATGGTGTTTTATCCCTGTGCCAGATTGACACGGATTCTTTTTTGTCCACCTCGCTGCCACAGCTCTGCGTGCCATGTGATGAGATCAGAGAGCTGTGTTAAGAGTTTTATTTATTCAGTCCTTTTTTATTTCAGTGCCCAGTAAACATCACATTGCTTCAAATATTGTTCGTAATTTTCTAAGAGTGATACAGTTTCAATTATAAATACTTGCATGGAGTTATGGCTTTGATATGCCCTGCAGCAAAATGCATACAAGTACTGAGACTTCAAGTTACAGCCTGATCTGACATACCTTTGGAAATCCCCATCTGCAGCCCCACCCCAGCTGAGTACAGCTGGGCAGATAAATCTCAGAGAGCTCATTTTTTTGGTACTGCTCTGAGAAAGCTTCCTAGTTAACCACCCTAGCTCATTCTCCTTAAAAGATCTGGGACTTTGTAATTTTTAAAAACTTTTCTGAAGTAGCTTTTGTGGTGAGACCCTTCAACCTGATCTCCAGAGGATTAGTACTTCAATATGTTCCATGCTAAGAAATCTGAGTAATTTGAAAACCTCTTAAATTTTGTAATTAAATCAAGCGTACATCCTAAAACTAATTAGTCTCTTTTGGTGTCCCAGCAGTATTTTAATTTTCTTTGCTCTTAATATTTAGCCTACTAGAAAAACTTGGCAAAGAATGAGGTAGTGTTCTGCGATTACTGTTCATGCTGACAATTGTCTTCACCTGTTTGTATTTATTTGTTCTCTTGCGATTAAGAAGTCACCTCTTTTGTACAAACATACAATTTTTCTTTTAAGCAGTATCTGACATAATGAGGTCCTGGCAAAACCCACAGCTTCCGTGTTTTACATGCCAAGGCACATGTATTAAAACATGGAATCAATCATTTTGAGCTCAAAACCATGTCCCAGCTATGCTCATCTAGTTGCCTTTCAAAAGCCTCCTAGCTTTTTGCCATGGTAGTATGCACCAGTCCAGTGTCTCAAATTGTTTGAGCTCTCCATTCTTGTGTTAAAATGTAGACAGGTCAGTCTTACAGAGTGGGCCTGGCTCTGCCATTTAACACTTCATCGATATCTCAGTCAAATTTATTACATTACACACCTGCACACTGGAAAAATGATTCCAGCAATGAATCTGTTTATGGGAAGAGAGTCACACAGGTCATAAACGTGGAGATGCAATGAAGTGGGATAGCAAGCCTTTCTTTCTTTTACATTTTGGGGGCATTAAGTTGTTATTTCCTTTGAGTTTAAGCCTAACCTCATTAACAAGGAGACCGAGAAAGTCGGGAGTAGCTGCAACATCGCAAACAAACCATCTAAAGCACTCAGTTTGAATCCTCCACGTGAGATGCACATGTTCTCTCAGGACTCGGAGCTGCCGCCTTGACTTTTATTTTGTTTTTGTTCATTCCAGTCTGCTTAGCAGACAAGACATTAAGAAGAGAGGAAGAAAAGGAAAGACTAAGCTCCTACTGGGGTAACTACTGCTGTCTTCTGTGATTATGCTCATCCATCTTCATCCAACATGGCTAATTTCTGCACAGCATGTCTGCACATGCAGAGCGCCGGAACGCGCTCCTGACTGAAACGTTTAGTGTTACGTATAAATATTAGTGGATGAGACACGATATAATCATGTGAAATCATCACCATAATGCAAAATTCTTAACTGTAGATTCTTAATTATTGTTACAGTGAATCATTGCATGCAAATCTCTCCAGGCAATCAAGACGCTTCATGTTGTTGGCATTGTCATGGTGTTATGTGGGTATAGTTAAGAGGTAACTTATGCTCCAGATACTTGTCTTTTCTAGCAGTAAATATGATTATGGAAAGGAAGCCCATACTCCTCTTAAAATTTTCAAACAGGATTTCTTTACAGGACCACCTCCTTGCTCCATCACAAAGCTCAGTTTTGTGTTGTGTACTACACAAGGCAGTTGTGATGGTCCTGTTCTTCAGCAACGTGCTTACTGAGAACAGAAAATCTGGTGAAGAATAGAAGATTTTTTTCACTTACACAGTAAACCATGAGGTTTGTATTAAGATTTGGATGGGCTTGCAATGTACAGTTTGCTCTAAATTGCTGCAATTCCTTTTACTAGTATTGAGTTTCAGTGCAATTCTTGAAGCAGCTGCTACTGGTCAAAAGGACATTTTGTAAATATAAGTCTGGATTATCTGTGCAAGTAAATGTCCAAGTCTAAATCCTCTGCTCCCCACCACAGAGAAAATGAGTGAGGCTGGTTTTAAAAGGATCCTTTGTGTAGAACAAATGGAGTGGAGAGAATTTGCCTTTCAGCTTTTTTCCTGATGCCGTATCCAGATAATTTGTTAACATCTGTGGTCTTTAAAGAAAATGCAAATTCTTTCATTTTAGACTAAGATAAATTTCTTAATTAGGAGGGTCAGGTTGCCCAAATCGGACCTGGTATATTAGAAAAACAAGAGTAAGATGTCCTCTAAATAATGACTATTGGAGTGTTGAATTATTTTGTGTTATTTAAATTAGACCCCTTAATTTGTATTTAAGTCTAGGTAAAAGTCATCTGACTTAAGGTCACACTTATGTGTTTATTTGCCTAGTTTGAGGATGTGACTCACTCACTCATGTTCATAAAAAACCCCCACAAATATCTATGAACAAAGTAAAAAAATCACTATAAAAAATCACATTTTTCTTTGCTTGTTTTTTTTTTCTTAACTTCAATTAAGAACCATACTTCTTCCAATTGATAGTATTCCCATGTAAGGACAATTGCTCTGATGCTTAAGAGTGTATCCCTGAGTTGTCCCTTAGAATCAGAGAGTCCTTGCACAGAAGAAGTAAGGAAAGCAAGTGAAAGCGCTAATGATCAGACTAAATAAAATATGTTGCTTGTTAACAGGTAAAACTAGAATCTCTTTTTAATATTCAAGCATATTTTAAGAATGTGATTCTTAGGTGCTTATGCTGGAGCAGAAAATTTATGCTGGGAAAGAAAATTCTGGAACATATTGACACAAACCACGACATTTTAGACAAGGTAAAAAATACAATATATTAAAAATATTGAACACTGGAAGGAAGCTTCAAGTGAGTAGCTTGTGAATTATCTAATTGAAAAAAAAAATCAAACAAAGCCCAGGCTGTGGTTTCACAGCAATGCTAAGTACATGCACCTGCCAGAGGCAGAATTCTAGCCCAGAGCTCCCATAACCACCAAATAACCACCTTTTCCCTGTGTCCTCTCGTGCTGTCTCTTGTGGCTTCCAATCAGTTCTGTGTATGATGCACTATCACATTAAACTAATACAATTCATTTTACAAGCAAATGGTGGACACAAATGTACCTTGTAAGAATTTTTCCTATTCATATCTGTATTTCTGTGCATTCAGAGAACTAGCAGTACTTCATAAGCTTTGTGTGATTCTCTGTCACACAAAATTATTTGTAAATAATTCAATCCAGTAACTCTGAGATAAGATGAAAAGGATGGCAGTGGAGGAACAATTTAGTGAGCTAGTCCTTAACTCTATTTTAAACTCCATTTAAAATATAGCTTAGTCTGTCAATGAAAATAAGATGATTTGCCTTATCCTAGTTTCTGTTTGAAACTCTCTACCCACTGCTGTGTGACTGCCAATCCCTGTTCAACACAGACGAAGGCCTAAAAAAACTGCCCAGCGCTCTTACTTCGGCAGGATGGAATCTCACAGTATTTCCAGTATATTCCATCCTCGTGTTCTGCAATGTAGCACCAAGGGCTGACATCTCCATCAGGATTTCTGAAAGAGAAAAATCAAGTGAGTGAGTGAAGGTCATTGATTTTTTTTTCAAAACCCACATAAAAGTCAATCTTCTTAAGCTTCAATGGCATCACTATTTTCGCTCTAATACCTCCCATTGGACTTATATATCCAGAAAAATGCAAAAGTGGTCAGGAAGTTTAGGTAACTTTGCTTATTACAGTACATATCAGGCATGTAACATCTTTTTACTCTAAGTTTAAAAGGTGCAGTTATTTCTTGTAAGTGCTGATAAAGACTTTCAGTCCCACATCCTGTGTACAGGTTCCACAGGCTCCTAACCTTGATTTTTTGCCTTGGTATAAAATAGTTCAGACTCCAACTTTCTGAATGTGTGGTGATAAAAACATTTAGCTGATAAAGTCTTCTTTAGGGAAAGACTGAGTTATTTTCTTTCCCTTCAGTAAAAGTGAGTAAACCTGTTCCAGTGACCTCTCAATATGGATGGGTAATTCCTTATGTGCCCATGATGATGATGATTATCATTACCATTATAATTATTTGCTGTTGTGTAGCATCATTTACAATTCATACCTATTTAGTCATTATATTATTTGAAGTCTTATCTATGTCCACATTGAAAAGATCTATTAAAGGGAATAAATTGTTATTTTGCACAGTCAAGTTGAAAATACGACCAGTTATAATCTCTTTATGATGAATTCTGGCATGAATTCTATTAATTACACCCCCCTACTGAAGTGTCAGTTCAGCTGCACGTTGCCATTTTATGTGTATTAACAACTCTTTTGTGGAAGATCCAATTTTAGAAATGCTGGGGATATTTCCTGGTCAAGTAACAGACTGCTGGGGACAACTGGTGAGTTGAGTTTAATTTGGATGACTAAAATGTTGCTGGTTAGGCTTTCAGAAACATTAGTAAAGGTAGTGAACAGGGAAAGCCTAAGACTGGCATGCTAGGAATTTAGGTGCAATGGCAGAGCTTCCAGTAGCTGCAGAAAGTAGAAGACTAAAACCAAGAGAAAGCTTGTACTCAAATTAACACATTTTCCCCTGTTTTCACCATTACAGGAATTTTTGCATTTACATCTTTGTGACAGAAACCATATGTTTGGAATTGAATCATGATAATGACACTCTTCATGTAAATACCTTAAAATGTGAGGAAATTGTAGAGAAACATGATTAATGCCTTTAGAAATCTTTGTCTTGAATCTCAGAAGGGCACACAGTTAGAAAACAAATGTCCATCTTTCAGCCTTCATAATTTTATTATGATTGAAATGAGGTTTAGTGGAACTTTATGAGGCATTTCCATCTTAACGGGGTGTTTTGCAGTAAACAAAGTATTCCAAGTAAGGACCTCCCATGGAGAGGTAAAGTGCTTCTGATTAATGCTTTAAGTGTAAAATCAGATGATTCAAACGTTGTCCCTAAAATCAAATCTCAAAGCAATATATTATGCCTTTAAAAAGCCTTCTGAGATATGTGCTGCCTCAGAGAAGGGAAGATCAACTTGTTCATTGTCACCAAGCAAATGAATATCAGAGAAAGAGCTGAAACAGCTGTATTACTTGCCTCAACAACATGTGCACGCTAAAGATATGCTCTGGCCCTCTTAGTGACTTTCCAAGCTTTCTTACAAGACAATTCAAAGTTAAAAGTCATCCATTAGTTAGGATTGTTATTCCAGAATTTCCTAATTTTGTGTTAACGACTCAAAGTAACACTGGGTATATGGGCAAAGGCAGTAGCAATGTGATATTTCTTACCTGCAGTAGTTATGCTCTCCAAGCCCTCCCTCCCCATTGGGATATTTCACAGTATTATAAGGATGCTCAAAGGTCTCATTCCAAAAAAGACAAGGTTTCCCTGCATATTGGGAAGTCTGGTTCTGAGTGCCACGATAGTCAGCCCCGTTTGCAGTGTAACATTCTGGGAAGAGAGAAATGGAAAAAGAGAGAGAATGTGTGCAGGTTTAGTGTTTGGTTGTTCTTCCCTCACTCTCCACCCCATTTCCAACAGACCACGTTTGCTTTTACTAATATGTTTCCTGCATTGTTTAGGCTACTAAACATTCTGGCTGGGATTTTAACTTTCTCTCAGAGTCAAGCATCTATTAAAGAGATTATGATGTCATTACTTTAATAAACAATGTAAAAGATGAGTGGTTTACACAATGAACATGCATTTTCTCAATAAGCAGACTACATTTTTTACTGTTTTCCTTGTGTTTTACTCAGTACAATGACTCTGTAACTTGTTAATTTTCCAAAAATAAAATTATATGACATTATCAATCTGCCAAATATTACCCAAAATCTCATGTCACTTCAGCTGAAGTTTTAAATATCTGTACTTTATAAAGTGAAAGACTTTGTAGGCATGGACCTTACAAACACTTATATTCTGATTTATAAAAATTCTTGGTCATTATTTTCATCTGGCCTGAATTGCCTTAGAAAGGCACCTCCTTTGGCAGAGTATAATCATGATACTGTGATTTGCCACTAAAGCATTTGTGCTTCCAGATTAAAAATTATGGGTCAGTATTCTTCTGCCTTGCTCGTATTTTCTCCCATTTATGTTTGTTTTCCCAGCTTCCTAATACTCAGCAAGTTAGAAATCAAAATCAGAGAATGATTTCTTTAGCCATGAAATACATTACCCGTTTCTCAGCTGAACTACAAATCTCATGCTGCCCGGCTTTGCTGTGTCTTGTTAATCACAGAATAGTTTGGGTTGAAAGGGACCTTAAAGATCCTCTAGTTCCAACCCCCCTGCCATGGGCATGGACACCTTCCACTGGACATCTTCTGATCAAATAAATATTCATATGCATGAACACTTTTATCTTTGCCAAAACTGCAAACCATTTTTGATTACATTATGCACTGTGAGGGTGATGAGATGGGAACAAGTTGCCCGCAGAGGTTGTAGAATTTCCATCCTTGGAAATACTCAAAAGCCACCTGTACATGGTCCTGGGCAACCTGCTCTAGGTGACTGTGCCTGAGGAGAGCAGCTGGATGAGATGACCTCCAGAGGCCACTTCCAACCTCAACCATTCTGTGATTCTGTGATCATCTTCCAGAAACAATCTTTTTAATTAATGTACCGTAAATAAGTCCATCCTGTTTATAATTAATACTTGCTAACATTTGTCATCCTTGCATTTATTTCAGAATAGGATTTAAATATAACAGTCCATGACAGAATTAAAACTGCTGCATTACACTGCTGTAAACATTTCTTTGTACTGAATGGCATTAGTGGGGAAAGTCACCAATGCTTCCTACTGACTGCAGGCTGTGAAACCTCCTGTTTGATCTGATAGTATTCTCTGCAGAAACCATATTACAGCTGCAGAGATGTTCTACTGCCCTGAGGGAACGGGAGAATGCTCTGAAGTGAAGTATGTGCTGATCTCAGATGTCCCTCATGAGACAGAACTTAAAAAACAAGGCTAGAAAGACCTGTGTGGCTGCAGTTGGAAGAGGGAAAAAACCAACCCACAGCTTAATACTGATATTAACAGTTCACCGTTTTTTTTATTTAGAAATACTGTGGGAGATGGAAAAATATATTATTAAAACCATGCCTTTGAAATTAGTTTAGTCTGGGCCCACAAATATCAGAATGGTGCAATTATAATAATTATTTCGCAGTTTTATTACACGGCAGATGAAAGACAATGTTTTTGTGCCTTCACTGTGCATTTTCATGCCTAGGCAAGTTAGGATTTCAGTTAAATGAAATTTTGTTGCTGAAGGCACACAGAAGAGGTGTCTGCACAGCCATTAATGCATCTGCTATCATCTTTGGACAGAAAGCTATATAATTTAGCAAAAACAAGCTTCAGGTCAATACTCCTCCTTACTGTAATTTACCTGACTGCCCTAGCCATGCAGGTGGGCTGCAAACATTTACTTGAAAATGCAAATCTGAGTTTCCAGTATTCAGGCCACCACAGGTATTCGTGTAAACATGTGAAAAAACCCACTAGAAAGTCACCAGAGGTACAACTTTCTTCAATACCTCTCTTGCTTTGCAGTTAATATAAAAGCTTTTGTATGTCAGAGCTGAAAAATATAAGCTGATGAATTTAGCAGAAAAGAGAACATAATCAAACTCCACCAACAAAATAATGTTCAGTGTAAAGAAGCAGTTGAGAGAAGTGATAAACACATCCAGAAAAGATGTCTACGTTAGTTTTGTACTATTACCTTTTTTTTTGCTTCTCACTTCTAAATGAGAAGCAATATATACTAACATCTACTCAGAAATGCAAGGAATGTTACAATACCTGAACGAGATCTGGCACACAAACTAAACTGAAGTGAACATCAGTCCATTTTAGGATCTGCTAAGACTGGCCCATGCTTTAACTTGCAGTCCTGACTGACTGACATTTTCATGTCAGCTTTTTTTAACTGATTTCTTCAAACTTCATTGCACCAGGAACAAAAGGAAGAGTCAGATCTCTCTTCATTCCTCTTAGCTGTGGCTTTTTGTTCCTAGGACAACAGGTAGCTGTGTCAATGCTTCCTGTGTTCTTTCACAGTATCAAGAGATTTGGGAAAAATGTGCCAGCTGAGTTGCAGTGAAGCTGCCCTGGCTCAGCTGGATGTGGAATGGGGAGGCAGTGACATACCATGCAAAATCATTGACTAGCCCCAAAACACTGAAATGAAAACTTTCAGTTAGGGAATTTAGTAGCTGTTACCAAAGGAAATACATCGACTTTTGTGTAACAGGGAATTTGCTGGGAAATGTTCATTTTATTAAGGACTAATAATAATTTTGCCACAGCACTAGAGTTCAATCTTTTCAAATAAATATTGGCATTTAAAAGATCAGGTCAGTTGTCCTTTCTATGCTCCCTCCTGTCTTTTTGTGCACCTGCTCACTGGCTGAGCATGGGAAACTAAAAAGTCCTTGATTCAGAGTAAACACTACTTGGCAACAACTAAAACATCAGTACGTTATCAACATTATTTTCATATTCAATACAAACCACAGCACTGTCCCAGCTACTAAGAAGGAAATTATACCAGCTGAAACCAGGATACAATCCTATCTTCTTTTACCTTGAACAGGCAGCTTTGAGATCTGCTGATACATTTTGTACGGTTTCCTATAAAATTCCTAGTAGCTTAGTTACAGATCTCAGCATATTCAGTATCTTGGCAGTAAACAGCTGAATTCTTCTCTTTGTCACACGGCAGTGATTTCATCTTATTTTGCTGCATGACAGCCAAGACACTACCTTAGTGATCTCACCATGACATTAATATTCCCTGTGTGCTGAAGGTGCAAAGTAAATGTTTCATCTTCAGACAGACCACTATCCTCTCTATTTCAAATCCATGGGCAGCACTTTAAAAAGTCCTAAGAAATTCTGCAGAAGAGGAGGTTAGAACCTCCACTCTGCTTTTCATCTTGCACCACTGGTGCAATAATTCTGCGAAAAGATGAGCTTAAAAAAGGTCAGCCAGATTTGTCTGCACAAAACCAAGTCAGAAGAGGTCATCTAAATTAAACAGTCAGAAAAGTCTGGACTGAGCACTACTGGTAAAACTTGGGCCTCCTCAAATTACCTGATTTCTCCTTGGTAGCTTATGTAGAAGGGAGGGGGAAAAGAGTAAACCAACCAGCAACAACCACCTCTCTACTGCTGTGGCACCCACTGGATCCAGCTGCCTTATGTTGATTGATACTTCCAGGATACTTTAGGCTGTGAAGCCCCTCACTTGGAATCCAACATCAGCACTGTGACTCCAGTTCTATACATTTTAGCAAGTCTTATTCCTTAAAGTTTTGCAAGACTGTGGCAAACTATGACAGAACCTGCACTGTATCCAAATCCTCTCCCAGTGGAAGAACAGACAGTGGTGGACACCAAAGCTGACAGCTTCCTAGGAGGCATCAGTGCCACTGTGCTCGACAGATTTGCCACATGGTTTCTGTTCATACACCCGAGGCTCAAACTATCCTGTCAGCCATGAACCTACATTAAAACACCATTAAAACAGCGTTTCAGACAAGACACGGAGAAAGCTGTGACCACTCAAACCCTGAAGTGTCTGACCTCCTCATATTTCTAAGATCTTACTCAGCTGGGTTTCAGACATAGTCTGAAGTAGAGGCTTATGTCAAATCTGTGATAAGAATCAGTGCCTGTGATGATTTCACTCTATTAACTGCCTAATGACCCTGCTGTTCCTACTGCTTCGTGGGAATGTCTGTAAACAGTATTAATCAGAGATTAATCAGAGAATCTTTGCAGTGGTTCTAGTCATGAAAAACTGGAAGGTTCAAACAGGTGCTGTTCAGGATAATGAGCCTTCGTGAGAAAACATGGACAGAAGTCTGTTGTCAGAGCTGTTTTGTTTTCAACATATCAGGTGCCTTTGTTGACAGAAAAGTAATTTTTTAAATGAATGCTGAGACTAGGTAAGTATGTATTAAGTAGCAATTGCTAGAAAGAAAAAGCAGAAATCAAGTCTAGGGATATTGTCCACTATGAGTGAATGTTCAGTGTGGGATACAGGTTCACAATTAGTTTTATTAGAGCCAGATCAACATTTGGAAGATCAAACGGCAGCTGTCGTAGAAATTTTTTCCATCTGTGTCGGTTTCTTCTTCAATGTAGGGACCTTACAATGATCATTTGCCTTTGTTACTTCGGGACTGCATGGCTGCCTGCACTCCACATGGGCGCCACTTCAGGATCATTTGAAAAATTAAGGTAGTGCAGACTTTTCTACTGAATGAGGCACTGATGATAAATCACTGACATTTCAGAGTCTGCACTGGCTTCCAATGATTTTCTACGATGGACTTCCAAATATTGGCTTTAATCTCTGAAGCCCTTAATGGCAAGAGGCCCAGTTACCTGGGAAATTCTCATTTTGTGCCACATTATCACAGAC